ACTGGTCCCCCAGATTCAAATTCGGAAGCGACCCTGGATTCCAATACCTCTCCCAATCCAATGCTGCGCACTTGGCCCTATCTGCAGGTAGAATGGGGCCATCAAAACTTGCAGTAGGACTGGCGGGCGGCACCTGTTTGACCCACCTGCCTAGTTTGGTGGCATTTTCCTGCACGCTGTCCTTCCACGCCTCCAAGCGTAACTTGGACGCTGCTGTAGCTTCTGCATTTGCCAATTCTAGCACTGCACTAACCAACCTGGGGTCATCCAAAGAGAAAAAAGCCAAAGAATGATGTAAATGAGGGCCATCACGAACCAACTTCTTCTCCAACTCTGGCAACGGGGCCTTTTGGTACTCCACCACTCTTCGTGCGAAGCGTCTGAGCTTGCGCTCTTTCACTGTTTGCAAAGAAGGCGCTTTTGAAGACGGAGGACTGGCAATTTGCTGCGGGCCCTGGCGCATAGCACGACCAGCTTTGCCACGTGCGAGAAGAAGAGATTCTGCGCAGTTGCTAAGTAAGGTCCAAGCAGAGTCCACGTTGCCTGTACTCGATGCATTTCCAAAATCGTCACATACTTCTTCCCAAGCACTTAGCCAAGAAGCTTCAGCAACCTTTTCAGAATGCAAAGGGGCACCAACTGGGAGAGTCCACGGTGTGGATAATGAACCAGGCACATGCAAGTTGTAAACCACCGCGTCATGGTCAGCCACGCCAAGATGTTGCTCCCTACCAGTAATAATTACCCGAGGAGTGCACAAGCCATAGTCAATGACCACACCTGTATAAACACCTGCAGCAGTTCGATGTGTACCACCTAAAACACGATCTCCGCAAACCAGCTCATCACAGGACCGCCACTGTCCAGTAGCCAAAACGTTAGAAATTGGCCAACAATGAATTTCCAAATTGAAGTCACCCATGATCACTGTATCTTCACCACAAGCAGCAACAAACTCGAACAGCGCACCCAGCGCACGGCTGGCAGCTGTGCGATCTGAAGCATGTAAGTAAACACTGATGAGAATCAACGGCCTTTGCTGAGGTCTATAGAGTTTGACGGCCATGGATCTTTCCACAGACACCATGTCGACAGGAAGGGCCAAGGCCTCAGCAGGCCACTTTGTTAGAACCAATGTCCCACCTTCCACTACATTTTTCGAATTTCTTCCTTGAGGGCCAGGAAAAAGTTGCCACCCGCGTGCCTTGACGGCACGAGTCACAGCATTCCAGCTGTGATTGTTAACTCTAGTTTCTTGAAGACACAGAACATGTAAATTCTGGAGCTGAGCAAAGTCAAGCACACCACCCAAGCGGCCTCCCAAGGACCGTACATTCATAGTCCCCAACCGCATAGTGCTGTCAGAGCCTGTCATGGGTTCTGATCCACAGCGCCATCCTGCTGCAATCCCAAAATGTCCAAAGCTCGCGAAGCAGCTCGCTGTCTGGCACTTGGAGCCTGAGCCGCAAGAGGCACCAAAATATCCCTCTGGCCCTTTCGAAACTTAGTCCAAACCATTTGACGAGGACACTGACTTCCTGTAAGCCGTCTGATGTTGTTGACACAACGCTTGCAATGCACACAAGCAAAACGCACCGTAAAATTGGCAGGCCACACAATGGCCTCAATCTGATGCGTGCTGTCTGCTGCAGTATCAGTGGTGCGAAATGCTCCAGAGTCGATGATTTCCAAAACTGTGCGGGCACCCTTCTTGAGGTCATCGCTGATGTCTGCATTTTTGAGGCACGCACGCAATCTTTCCACCAACTGCTTTCGTTTGGGCCCTTTGCTGGAAGCATACTGTTCACAAGCAATCTTTGCCAAACGCTTCGCTGTCAAAGCCATACTGCCACAAGTTTTGCAAATGACGTAAGACATTCCAACTCTTTTCTGTTTGCCATTTCCTGTGGCTGGAATGGTAACGAAAGTGGGGTCATGTGCTCCAGCATCGCCACGCTTGAAGCCAAGCAACCTTCGAGCCACTGCAGCTGCACGCACCTGGCGCGTGGCTTTGCTAGCATTCTCCCGTCTGAAGCTGCTGTCCTTGTGGAAGAGCTTGGCATCCGCCTGAGGATGTTTGTCTTCCCTATGCTTGCGGATGACGCTGTACACTTGGCCAGGTTTGAGGTTGTGATCAGCGGACAAGCCAAGTTTGCAAACAGGACACTTCCAGCTATAGACCCCTCCCTTCTTGACCGCAGACAGCGCAGGCAACGTGTTTTTGAAGCCGATTTTCAACTGTTCCTTCTCATCGGGATGCCAAGCATTGATATGAGCTCTCTTCTTGTCAACCCATCCTTTGCACACCCCAGTGGAAAAGTCACACAAAGGGCATGTCCACTCAGTACGCTTAGTGCGTCTGGACGAAGCACTGGCTGCGTCTTGTCCTTCACTGGCTGCACGTGGCGTGCACGGACCCCGACCCGAAGTAGCAGCCGCAGGGGAAGAAGAATTCTTGCGCTGCTCTGACAAAGTAGAGGCGGGCGCGGGGCTAGCACACCTTCCACGTTTATTGTTGCTATGAACCAGTGACGGCAAAGCTGACAATCTGGTGGCACCAACTGAAGTAGCGCCACATTCCGATCCTCCACCTCTGTTGCCCTGCATTGGACCATTTGCGGCCTGAGTCAAAACTTCAGGAGGGAAAGCACCTTCAAGTCGTTCATAGTGCTTTGAACGAAACCACAAAGCGATGTGAGCACCACCCTTGCCACGACCATTGTAAATCTCCGGAACCCCACGAGGCTGGAAGACAATGATCGGGCGATCGTAGTGCACAGCCGCAGCAGAAACTTCAAGAGCACTGCCCCAAGCACCAATCTTTGAGAGCATGGTGAGATAGCTCTCCCATGATTCGCAAGCATTCTCCGCCTCTGTTGGCTCCTTGCCGTCCCACCAGGGCTTGTAACGACCCTGGTGCTTGGTCAGGTGGGTGACAACGCTTGCACGCACATTCCTGGCTGTTTTTCCGCCCAAACTTTGAGCAAGGGCTTCAAAAAGACAGTTGCCGTCAGCAGGGATGCTTTTCACCTTCATATTGTGAGGGGGCTTGGGTTCCCCCGCAACACGCTTGGCCGGAGGACTCTTTTCAGGAGTACTGACAGTTCTTTTTGCCCCAGCGGGTTCTCCAGCATTGTCCATCTTTGCGTCCGACTTGTCCTCGTCCAAATTCTCAGCAGGAACCTTCTCAGCCCCTGCAATAGTCACTGGCTTTTTGACTGGCGTTCCCATGTAGAAAGATTTGCGAGGAGCAGGCGTGGCAATCGCCTGCCATGCATGGCTCTGGTTATAACTGACCCTTCCATTGCTAGCCAGTTTCATGGTATGTGTTCTCTGCCGTCTTTGTCTTGGAGCTTCAACAACTACAATGACTTTTTCGCCAGCCTGAATTTCAATGAAATCCATATCCTTTTGAGCATTGGCCTGCACCCACCATTCCACTTGTTTGCCCACAGTTTTCCGGGACAACACCTTGAGTTCAGTCAGGCCAGCACGTGTAAGTTCCTGAGTCAAGGTACTAGCCGCCCAATCTCGCGGAACACCAGTGACGCGCCAAGCTCTGGCCTTAGGAGGAGGCTCGGCGCTCCTGGGCTTACGTACTCCCAGTCCATTCCATCCCCGGGCAATGCCCAGGTCACCAGCCATGGACTGAACCTTCTGCAAGTAGCTGGGCCCATCAAGTTCCGAACTTTTCTTGACCCACTCAACATCGCAAGATTCAATCACGGAGTTGTTCCATTGCAAAGGCTCCACAAACCAGGTACTTTTGCCTGAGCAGCCTAGAAGAGCTTTGGCAGCACTTCGCTCAATGCGTAAAAGGCCAGTGATCACTGGCTTGCCTCCGCCTTTCATGCTTTCTTGCTGAAACGCCCACATATCAAAGACTTTGTCCGCAACATGCTCTGGAACATGCCGATGCAACCAAGCCTGCGCGTTTGCCTTTGGCTTGGCCTGGATGCTCTGCCACTCGTTGTTTTGCAAATATTTTGCATCAACACTTAATCTCACTACAACAGTTTCAGGCTGCACTGCAGGAGCCGCTGACACAACGGCAGCTCTCTTGAGTGATGGCCCTTGGCCTTGAAGTGGGATCACAAACGCCTGCCTGGGCTGCACCTTGCCCGAGATCTTTCCTGGCACCATCCGCAAAGGTCGATCCTCAGTCTGCTTGGCCTCTTTCGGCGCTAGCATCACAGCTGTGATGTTGAGCTCTCTTTTGATATCAGGGGAATCGCCTTTCAGCAAAACCTGCAACTCCTCAAGTTGCTCTTCCGAGTTCACTTGCGCTGTAGCTGAAATATTTCCAGGCTTATCCAGTGCGACACAAAAGTCATCAAAGCCCAAAATGGGCCCCGTCCAGTCTGACTGACGCAGGCTCCACACCGGCTTAAACGCAGTGTTGGCTCGAACCACTTCAGCAAAGGTCTTGGGCGTTTTGTGGGGCTGCTGCTCTGTGTGTGGCTGTTTTTGGACGTCCGCCTTTTGCTTAGGATGTGGTTTCAAAGTATTCTGCGGGGGCTGAGTAGGAGGAGAAGAAGGGTAAAAACCACCCCCTTGGCCGTAATCCCCCAGACCACCATCACCGCCCTGTTTATTTTTGTTCTTGTTCTTAGTCTTCTTGGGTTTGGCACACCCGCCATGGCCCATCATAGCACTGAGCTGTTGAAGCAAATTCCCACCGCCACCCCCGAGTCCCAACAATTGGAAAAGCTGAGAGAGTAGTTTGAGAATCTCACCTGCTTGTTGCAAATTGAAGCCATTTGCTTGGTTATTGCTTTGTTTCTGTTTCCTTTTGCGAGCTGTTGCTCTGCTTCCTGCCCCATTGCCATGCATGGCATGCATCAATGCGTTCCGCTCTTTTGAAGACACAGCCCAAATCTTCTGAAGCAAATCGAAACTTGCAAGCACCACATCTGAACAATTCGTTTCTAAGCACTGCCAAGGCCCATCAGCAATGCATAGACCCGCAGCCACCGCGCGGAGGTTGTCCAGATAGCTGCCGAAAGGCTTTCCAGCCGAATCCAGCACCAAGAGAACTCCCTCAGACTTCTGCATGGCCCTGTAGAAAGATGTGCTGCGCGGGTTTTTTTTGATGTCTTCATCCACAGAGTGTTGGTTGTTGGCATAAGCACAGACCCAATAGAACGTACTGCTTGACAATTCTCGCACCAGAGCATGCTGCTCCAAGCAGGCCAGAAACTTGTACACTGGTTCCTCGCAGATCTGTTCAACAATATTTTAGGCATGTTTCAAACGAAAAGATTGACGTTTCCTGAAGTTCCTGTGTTGTTACGCTTCATTTTCATAAATCACCCCATCTGGGGCAGAAAAGTGAACAGGTCCAATACTAAGCAAGGATTTCAAGCGGAGGTTGTATTATGTTGTATTATTGGGGGAAAGAAGAATGAATTACTTGTTGTTGAAAGAAACGCAATAGCACGGTCTCGAACAACCTTGAAAGTTACCTATCAGCCAAGGCTCGCTCCAAGCATGTGACACAAACCACTGAGGTCTCTGCACTTGAATCGCCATGATCTCAACCATGCTGCAGCCCTTTTTCGCATAGCCGTCCTGGGATTCTGCATAATGTTGCCAATTAAAAAAGAAAAACGGTAGATTCTTCAAATTGGAAAATGTTTTGTCACATCATCAACAGATCCAGGCTTCGGTGGCTGGTTTGATGATCCAATGATTCGCATGATACAAGTTGAACGTCTCAAACTGCAGCCTTGTCCCACGCTGTTCTCCGAAAGTCTCGCACCATCTGTCAGCCATCTTGGAGATGAAAACAACGATCTTTGCCAATTGCTCGCGAGTGATCCCTCGCTCTGCAGTATCTTTGATGCAGAAAGTCTCCTTCGACGTGTGTGGGGCGACCAACAAATGCAGCAAATGAAATTGGAATGGAATTCAATTGAAGCATTATGCAGCACCTTCAAAGGTGGAATAATGGGCCTGCAATCTCTGAAATTCAACAGATTGACTTCTAAATACACTTTCTCTTTATTCTATTTGATCCTATTGGTTATATCGCCTTTTTGCCAAAAAAAGAACAAAGAGGCAGGTGTGTCTCCTGGCTGGTGATCTCTGAATAGTTTGTCAAGATTAAAGTGCTGTGGCGGGTTGCCTCCACAATGTCATCGCACTGCAGCTGGCAGACCCCACTTGACAGCAACTTGTTCCCATGCCATGGGCTGTCTGGCAAACGCTCACGTAGCAGTAAAATAATGTCAGCAGCGGTGCTCGAAGCAGTCAGTTTGATATCAAAGTAACCATGTCCAGGAATATCCACAGAGACCGACATTGAGGCAGCGAATCCTTTGCGCCAACCAGCAGCACGAATTACAGAAATTGCAGTCTATAACACGTGGTCTGCTGGAACTTTCTCTTGAGAATTATGAGATTGGCTGCTTTGTTCTTATGTGTTTGCTTGACTGATTTGGTTTTCATGTCAAAGTCGATAGCGCCGTACAGTGCAAATGCGGTACAAGTCCGTCTTGAGAAAACGCCAGAGGGACAAAAACAACCAAACTTCCTCCAAAACAACAGGCAATAAACATGGCCAAGCCAACATGGCCAATATTCTCAAAACAACCAAAACCACTTCACAGAACCCTTCAAAAAGGAAGCCATGTCTAAATAGCTGGGGTGCATCTTCAGATACTATACTGTACTACGACATGTTTTGATGCATCATGCAAATCTCAAATCTTCAATGCTTGGTTTCCACACTCTTCCAGGACCACTGCAGGGAGGTCCTGCAGGTGTTGAACCCACACCAATGAATGACGCGAAATCGCCAAACTCTAAGATTCTGTTGCGCCAAGATCGGGGGCATCAAGTTGGCTTTGCCCCGAACCCAAAGGGAACAGGGCAACGAACACTTTCTCCAATAATTCCAAGGACAGCAGCCGATGCAGCGTCCTCTGGCAGAGTTGGTGGCAAAATGCACCTTTTCCGTGCTGCGGGGCAGGATCAGAGGGGGTTGAGATGACAAGCGAAAAGCCAACGGACGAGATTCAGGAACCACGTGAACCACAGGTTTAAAAACAATGTAATTACTCCGAACTCCGAACTTTGAATTTCGGAAATGTACATACTCCGGCAATCTAGCCTGGCCATGGAAACCCAATGTTTCAATAGGAAAGTCAACTGTAAAAGCAGGATTTCCTATCACCAGGTTTCACAACCAAAGGATACATGTTGGGGTTGGACGCACTTGCCACCTGCACCGGGGGCCTCAACATCTCTCTGGGACAGGGAAGGTGGACCCACGTTTACCGAGCCTCAACGGAAAATTCGGAAATCGTTGTCTCTCAATGCAGTTGACCTGTCCAAAATCCATGGGCCGCATACTTGAAAGATGATGGGAATGTATGCAATCTTCGAGATGTTCCAGAAATGTTGCTGCCAATGATATCCAATGATAATCAAGGTCATAATCTCGTTGTTTTTCATGATGAAAACTCATGTTACCAGTAGTATGTCAATTGGTATCAACTCTAAATCATTCTAAATCCCTGGCCATGTCCTCACCCCACGACTCTCGAAACTCGTCAATCGCGCAGTGCTGGGCATTCGAGCCGCTGCAGTGAATTTTTCCTGCAGCGCTGGGATGAAGCCCTCATCTTTTTCCCTGTGCGAAGCCCATTTCGGGGACATAGTCCCAGCAAACTATGGACTTTTGGATAAGGCGCCCTTAGGATAACTGGTGTCTATCGGAATCCCCACAGTTGTGTAATGGTGTGTACACATGCGAAAAGCCGGTAATACGGAGCAGCTTGCGGAATAGTCACATGGTTGTCCTTCATCGGTCCACACATTGAGTGGTGTAAACACCCCAAAGAATGGAAACCATCTCAACTTGAAGGTGTTGAACATTGTTGAACTTCCATACAAGTTCTGGCATTGATAACATGGATAAACCCTAACCCTTGCTGCATCATCCTCCATGGTAGAAACCCTGGCAATTGTCACTATCTGCAACGCTTTCCTCAAGCGATGCACCAAAACATTGGAGATCTTTCAGGGTCAAGTCCAAGCACCTTTTTCCCAGCTAAGCCATGGAATTTGACCCAGCGGATCGACCCCCACCAGATTCTGGATTCCAATGGTTTTTCATGGTGTTATGTTGTATGATGTTGCATGATGTTGTCATGTTCTTAAAAGGGATGGCCATACACCCACAACTTGTCGAAACTCAAAAACTCTCGGCGTGATGTTCCATTTGGAGCCATTGGTGCCTGGTCCAAGGCGCAGCGTGCCGAATGGCAGCGCTCAGCACTTCATGCGGTGGACACATTGGCTACACCTGTCTCAGCGGCTTCTTTCCACATTTTTCAAAGAAACAACTTCTGTTCTGCTCCCTTCAGACTCTGTCTTTTTCTTGGTGGAAGTCTTTCACCACAAGAGGGCCAATCTTGAACCCTACAAAGACTGAAAACGAGTTTCCAAGCAAAGGCAAGCCGCAAATACCCGGGAAGACATCCCAACAGTGGAGGTTGAAAACTTACAGAGATCACACCAGAACCGAAAGCTTCATGAAGACTTCGACTGAAGACTTTGATACATGTGATGACTTCGACTGGACATTCCGATGCCTCGGTGTCTTGCGAACGTCTCTCCAGTTGCGCGCCAGGTGCCACTGCCACCTTGGACCTTGGTCGCCCAATGCAGGTGCTACTCTCAAAACGCCCCAACAAATAACGAAACAAGAATAGAATGCAATAAATATATATAAATATCACGAGGACAAACCATATGAAATGCATTGAAACTAGATTCAAAATGATTCAAAGGGGTTGTTGGAAGTGGGTGAAATGTGAAATCTCGTCGCTTGACTGTGTGATCTATACCCAGGAACCAGTCCTACCCACAACCCTATCAAGCGGGCAGATGGCAGAGCACCTCATCATTTTCGCCGAAACAGACAAGGAATCCTTCATCCGCATAGCCGGACATCTCAGTTGACCATCTCACCGGTTGAGACACGTTATATCCGAACAAATTGCGGGCAACTCGCTGAGACCATTGCCCCACAGCCAAAGGTCCTGCAGGCTTCCTAACCCTGAAAACATATTGACCCAGACTTCAGCGGGTAAGTCGCTGAGTTTGTTGTTATCCAGAAAGAGCACCTGCAAGTTGCCGAGCCCTGCGAACAGATGATCCCAGACTTCCACAGGCAACTCGTTCAGCCTGCACGTATCGAGGACAAGCATCCGCAGGTTGCCGAGCCCGGAAAAGACTCCAGCATGCAACTCACTGAGATCGTTTCCGCCTAAGTGAAGCTCATGCAAGTGGCTGAGCCCCGCAAACAGATTGGCCCAGACTTTAGAAGGCAACTCTCCGAGTTTGTTGGACCTCAGGTTCAGCACCCGCAAGTTGCTTAGACCTGCGAAGAGATGGACCCACACTTCGGCAGGCAACTTACTGAGCTTATTGGTCCCCAGGTTGAGATGTTGCAACTTTCTGAGCCCTGAGAAGACTTCAGCAGGTAGCGAGCTGAGACTGTTGTATCCCAAGTGGAGCACCTGCAAGCTGCTGAGTCCTGAAAAGACGTTAGCAGACAACTCGCTGAGATCGTTTCCGCTCAAGTACAGCTTCTGCAAGTTACCAAGCCCTGCAAACGATTTGGACCAGACTTTAGAAGACAACTCGCCGAGCCTGTTGGACCTCAGGTTGAGCTCCCGCAAGTTGCTCAGACCTGCAAACAGATTGGCCCAGACTTCAGCGGGTAATTTGCTGAGTTTGTTGTTATCCAGCATGAGCAACCTCAAGTTGTCGAGCCCTGCAAACAGATCGGCCCAGATCTCAACAGGCAACTCATTGAGCCTGTTCTCATCCAGGACAAGCTTCTGCAGGTTGCCGAGCCCGGAAAAGACTCCAGCATGCAACTCACTGAGATCGTTTCCGCCCAAGTAAAGCTCCTGCAAGTGGCTGAGCCCTGCAAATGATTTGGACCAGACTTTAGAAGGCAACTCCCCGAGTTTGTTGTACCACAGGTTCAGCTTCCGCAAGTTGCTAAGATCTGCGAAGAGATGGGCCCACACTTCAGAAGGCAACTCACTGAGCTTGTTATAACTCAGGGTCAGCTCCTGCAAGTTGCTGAGTCCTGAAAAGACTTCAGCGGACAACTCACTGAGCAAGTTCGACCACAGGTCAAGCTCCTGCAAGTTACTGAGTCCTGAAAAGACTCCAGCATGCAACCGAGTGAGCGAGTTGTACCTCAGGTTGAGCTTCTGCAAGCTGCTGAGACCTGAGAAGACTTCAGCAGGCAACTCGCTGAGATCGTTGAAATGCAGGTCAAGCTCCTGCAAGTTGCTGAGTCCTGAGAAGACTTCAGCAGGCAACTCACTGAGTTTGGTGGATTTCAGGTTGAGAATCTGCAAGTTTCTGAGACCTGAGAAGACTTCAGCAGGCAACTCGCTGAGATCGTTGAAATGCAGGTCAAGCTCCTGCAAGTTGCTGAGTCCTGCAAAGACTTCAGCAGGCAACCTTCTGAGCTTGTTCCGACTCAGGTCCAGCTCCTGCAAGTTGATGAGTCCTGCAAAAACTTGGGCAGGCAACTCACTGAGAGTGTTCCAACTCAGGTCCAGCTTCTGGAGTTTGTTGAGCCCTGAAAAGATTTCGCCTGGCAATTCAGTCAGCTTGTTTGAACCAAGGTCGAGGGTCTCCAACAAAGGAATTCTATCAAGGACGTTGTGTGGCAGCGAGGTCAACTTGTTTTCGCTCAGATCGAGAACTTGTAGCCGCGGGCTGTGCTGCAAAAGCTCTTGAGACAGCACGCTCAGCTCGTTTCCATCAACGATCCGTTTGCCCTTCTCATCAGATTTACCCCCCAGCAACAATTGCTCCAGGGCTGGCATGGGGCGCAGCAAGTCTCTTGGCAATGCGTTCAAACGATTTTGGCTCAGCGACAAGATTTTCAGGCTTGACAAGCCGGCAAACGCGTCTGACTCCACCTGTTGCAAACCCAAGCGGCCCAAATCCAAGAGTTGCAGGCTCTCCAATGGGGCAAACACATTTTGAGGCAAAACAGACAACCGATTCCCAGAGAGCGACAACCGTTGCAAGCCCTGGCAAGAGGTGAAGGCATCCTCTGCAACACTTGTGATGTCCTGCTCACTCAAACTCACATCTTTGAGGCGAAGAACGCCTACAAGGCTGCAGCTCGCAAGGTGCTTTGCACCATGATCCTTTTGGTGACAGCGGCACGGAAAGCATCCGAAATCAGCTGTGTGAATCGGGTAGAAGTGCGTCGAAAGCAGCAGAGCAAGGATCATGACCAGCAAACAGGGCGAATATCTAAGTGGCAGTTGTAAAAACAAGCAATCAAACAGAACAAATCCATCACGGCCCACTGGGGTCACGACAGCATGGCTCAAACTAATTTCATGACAAAACCCAAATCTCAGGTGGTTGGGTACAGATGTCCAAAGTAGTCGTTTGGAATCAACCACAAAATTTCAATTCCGGCAGTGCTTGTTAGGTTTCAATGGTCTGGGACTGTGCATCCCGGATGCTTGGATAAATTCCTGATTTGCACTTTTGGACAAACCAACAGCTGGATAAACTTCTGAAACCTTGGAACCTATCGTGACCAGCAAGCAGGGCGAATACCTTTGCAGCGGCTGCCAAGAAGTCAAGCAAAGAAATCCGTCACAGCCCGATGCGACGAAAAGGCTGGCCACTACAGCATGGGAAAAACTCATAACAAAACAGAAACCAGGTCTCAAGGATTCTCAAAGGTTTGGGCATTGAAGATGTGAAAGGAATCCAAAGTTTTAATGAGGGACTGCCTGTGGAGGGAACACCACCCCAACCCAAGATTTTGCAAAAAATACAGTGTGGACAAAAATGTGAAACCGCTAGCAGCCGGGCCACTTCTGAAACCTTAGAATTCTGGAACCTTGGAACGCTGGTACTTTGCAACCTTGAACCTTGTGTATGGTTGCAACCAAAACTGCGAACCCTGGCACCTGCACCTGCAGGAAACCTTTGGAACCCTGTTTGGGGACAAGAACGTCATAAGTGGCGCATGCTTTCAGTCAGTCCCAAAACAAATGTTCAGCATGTTCAGCAAAAAGACAAAGCTGGAAAAATAACAGGCCTTCTCTGCACCAACATGTTTACTCGACATGTAAATACAATGACAACAGGTTGCATAACCACCATGGTTTGGAAATGTTGACACAACCTAAAAGGAAACCAATGCAAACAAAACGCAATGCTTTGCAACAAATCCGGGATCTCTTGGAGCAAAATCTCGATGAGCTCAGTGACCAGGAAGCAGAGCTCGGTAAGCTTTGCAACTTCTTCCGGTATGTCGATCGATCGCTTCGCTCTAAGGCACGGCAAACAGTGCAAACATGTGCAAGTGAATAGTAGACAGCAAAGAAACCAAAAAAGTCGGCTGGGAATGCAAATGCTGGGTCCAACTCTGCTTGGAAGTTCACCGAAGCCTCATCCTCAAAATTTCCTGAAATGGCTTGGCCCAGCTGTAGCTCATAGATGGCCAGCAAGGTGATGATGAGGTACGTGCTGGTGTAAGCAATATCGAGAACCGCATCCATCATTGCAGCGCCACGGCGCACCCACTTCACAGTGGGTAAACCCAACAAAATGGTTGGATAGATGCTGTTCAGACATAGGAAACCCACAAAAGCCCAAAAACATCCTTCAAACGCATCTGAATGCTTCGGAGCTGAATGGAATGCAAATGACACAAGGCCACCCATGATTTGGAGCTTTCCAAAGGCCTGTAGCATCACTGTGAATAACTGCAGCATTGCAACTTTGAAGCCGTAGAGCTTGCCTTCAATGCCAACATATTCCTCATAGAGCAGCTGGGTGGGTTTCAGCGGTCTCAACTTGATATTGGCTGACCGACACCGGCGCAAGTCGCTCAGGAGGACGATGATCAAGGCCAGGTATGGCAAAGAGAAAACAATGGAGGGCAACAGCTGCGAAAGGCTCTCCTCCAACCATCCAGAATCAGAAGTGGTAACCTCCGGCAAACTCCCATCACTGGGCTCAACTGTTTGCTTGAGAGCAAATGCATCTCGGATCAATTGTGGAAGCTTGGAACGGATGAAAGGTGAACTATACCGCACAAAGTATTGCCCCCCAAAGTACACTGCTGCAAGTAATGAGCTGATCCGAAGCAAAGCAACAACAACGACTACTAATCGTGATTGCTGCGCTGGTCGCCCAGACATAAGCAAAGGATCTACCTGCAAACTGCCTGCCAGAAGTCCCATCTGTTCTGCCAAGTGGTGCACATCATCCACTTGATTTTCCAGCTTTGTCAAGGAGGCTTCACGGAAACGGATCGTGGCTAAATAGTGGTTGATCTTGACCACCATCTCGGCACATCTGACACCAGCTTGGACTGAAGCAAAAGAATCGCGAGTACGCACAATCTCTATTTCTCGCAACTCATCATGCTCTGCTCTGGTTTTGAGAAAGCACCACGCACTGAGCATTCTTTCCCAATCATCGAAGATTACATCGCAATACAAGAGATCTAAGATTTTGTCCCATCCACCTTCTCGCACGACAGCCTCTTGTGCCATCGGCAGTGTCATCAGTACGGGCCGCAAAGCTTGCCGAGATATGGAACCAGGCTGCTCCTCCAAGAACTCTCGCAGTGGAAGGCA